CCCCTAATTACAAATCCCAAATGGTAAAACAACACCTTTTTATGGGAATGATTATTGCCACAAGTCAAATTGTTAGAACCACCAAATTTAGGACTTAAGTTCCATATTTAATTAGGTGAACAAGCCTGTATGTTCAAAGTGCAAGGGCTCTCGCTCTCTCCCCAAAAAATGAGAGTGTCTGCATCCTGAATGGGAGTCGCTGCTGGGTGTTCCCAGTCTCTGTTAGTCTCCTAACTTCAATCGTTTTTCTTCTCTTTCATTGTATATACTATCACTTCTTTCGCTGCCTTCCATATCATGTTTCTTTGTTGTCCCTTTTGGTATCAAAAACCCCAAACATAGATTCTGTGTTGTTCTTTTTTCAACCTTCATCATAAACCCTATAATTCCAATCTTATGCCTTGAGCCCCGGATTATAGCAGTTTGCAGTGGGATCTGGGTTCTAAATCAAATCAGAGATCATCTCAGACCCTTTCCCCAAAAAGAGTATCTTCATCCCTAAGACTTTGATCGGGGTCAATTGACATTTGATTGAAGTTATTTGAAGCTTCATTTCAAGTCCATAATCCTTCCAACTCATATTGGCCTATCGGAAAAGTATAAATATCGGAGTTAGCCTAGGTGTCCTTCCCTTTAAAAATTTGGGCAGCTGAAAAAGCTGGATTATGTGAAGGGATATTGATGATGTGGAATTATTCCTTGGTGTTCCAGGTTCTTTTTCCCTCTATTTACCTGTTTCTGCAGATGTTTGTGTGGTTTCAATTTCATAGAGGGAAATCATTTCTGAAGAGTTATTTATCAATTAACCATGGGTTAGTAGCAATCAGGATATTATTTCATGAGCCTGGGGTAATTTCCTTGAGTTATGCTGTTAGAATTGTTAGGATTTTGTCTAAGATGCTGTTGGGAATATTTCTATTCATTGAGAAAATGTGTTTTTGCGATTTTGGACATTGTTTCTTCATATACAAAGTATGGATGCAAATGAATTTGTATGATCCTTTAGGTGCAGATGTATGTAGGAGAACTTTGTCTTGTTTTGGATTCTCAATCCCGGTAGCTCTTATACTTATGACTAGCTAGATTGGGAAGATTGTTTTGAATGGCTACAATGATGATTGTGGATCCCTGGAGGATGGTTTAAAATATGAGATTGGCTATTTTGCAAAGGATTTTGGTGATTTAGGTTGTTCTTTTCAGAACAGAAAAATAATTTGTTTTATGGTTACTTGTCTACTTGATGTTGGCATGAGATTAATGGTGGCAAGGAGTTGTTTAAGGGCAATTTGGAGTGGGTGTCTCAGCTGGGAGAGGTATGGATGCATGGCAGCAAGATCTTTGTCTTATCTTTCCATGTCATCATATACTTACACTGGTGGCCTTTCTTTTCCCTCCACTTTTTGTCATAATCAGAAATGGACTCCTTGTATGCCACTGCTCCACTGTGGTCTCTCTATCCCTGCTCAATTTGGTTTTTCCTCTGTTTCACTAGTATGAGGTCTCTCCTCGGAGGTGCTGTGTTGCTTTGCACAACTAGCTAGTCTCAACTTCTTAGTTCCTCTCTATGGTGATGTATTTCAGATGACTAAAGGTGAAGTAGATGATATGTTCTTCAAACAAAGCCTATTATTAAGAGGATGTAAAGCTTCCGGCAGGAGCTCCCCCGTCCTCTTGTCTCCTTTTTGCAGGATTTCATCAGGGTGTTTTGGTGTTTTGTTTTTGTTCCAGCTTTTTTCAAGTGCTATTTTTTCCCTTCTGGTTCATGTCCTTTGTGCAAGACTTTTGTAAGGATCTTGTATTTAGGCTATATACAAGTATGTTTGTTGGCCAAAAAAAAAAGTCTGTATAAGTTCATACGAAGAGTAGTCGTATTTAGTTTGCAGCCATAACCATTTTCATTTGTTTCTCTTAAGATATCTGAAGTTTGTAAAACATCTTCCAGGGTTTTGAGCAATTGATAAGCCTGTGAAATTCTGTCCATCAAATTGACAAATGATGAACAACAAGATTTCTTTAGTTTCTTGACTGCAGAGGAAAATGAAAAATTAAGATTATGGACCAAACTGATACAAACTTTATATTTCATTAACCAACACTAAATCTAGCTGAATTAAAATAATAAATCCCAGTTTAAAGCATTCTTTTCTCAGACAATTAAACACCTTAAATCACTTCAAACTTAGTAATTAACTCCACAAATTAGCCATACATTGTTCAAATAAAGATTTAGAGACCACGCTTAGACGACAATAGAACTGACCATAGTTTAACACGAGGAGAAATGTTCCTCCCACACATAAAATACACAAGGTGAAAGAGTATCTTGTGATGTCCTGCTAATTTGGCCTGATCTCCATGCCTTGAATAATGACACCGCGCTTATGCTCGTAAGCCTCCCGCACAAGCTGTATTTCCAAATCTCCGCCTCTTTCTTTGGTGAAATCAATTTCACTCAATTCTACCTCAAACCAATTATCTCCCCTCTCTTTCGGGTACTGATCACCATTTCCTACAATTCCACTTTCTGCCTGCACGTACACTTCTCGTTTTGAAACTTCAGCCCCTCCAAGTAGAACAGCAGCTTCTATAGGTGTATTTCTAAATCCATAAGTTTTGTCCGCCAGCTTGAACACAAGGTAAGCCTTATAACGTGTTTTTGGAGAAAGCATGCGAGTATTAATCCTTCCATG